CTTCTGTATTTTCTTGTCGTGATGTTCCTTGAACCCCCTCCTCTTCGACTTCTTCAAATATCGGTTCACAGTATTTTTGAACTCCTACTGAAAAATCTTGATAATCATTAAGGTCGTCTTCATTTCCATCGGGATTACTATCGATAGCATTCAATCGACCGATCATGATATCAGTATCATCATCAAGTGATGGCCTTGTACTGTTAGAACATGTTTCACTTTTACAATTTTCGCATAAAGATGGGCAAGGAAGCCCAGCTTTTTTACATCCACATCGATTATTACACTCTTTTATGCAGGCACAATTAACCAGCTTAAGTAGGTCGCCAGGCGCCAGTTTTTCCATTGTTTTTATCGGCAGGAACATTGTTTGATCCAACCTAAATCTTCCGGATTCAAATTATAATTACCAATCCAAAACTGAACTTGGTAATACGTCCTAAATGAGTGTAAATGTGTTGCTATTGTTGTTGGAGGTAAAATTGTTAAGTTGATCGCAGTCTTTGATTTCGCAATCATACTCAAAAATCGAGAAACACGACACTGGCCTGATGTTGAATTAGTATCAAATTGACCGTACAAGGCCAGCATAATTCGCTCTCCAGCTACTTCGATATCTTGACGAGAGGCATCGGGATTGTAGAAGACTTCCACGTATTGCATCAGCTGAGGATTTTTTCTATAATATCCAGCAATTTCTTTCCCTTTGCCGAAAATAGTGCTCGTTGTATCGCATCCTGTAAAGGCATGCGCAAACAGAATGATATTTTTCAAGTGCTTATTATTTCTGGTTTCATAAACAACATCCAACTGTTTGGTAGATGCTCGTGGTTTCCACATTGTAATATTTGAATTCTCTGGTGTCAAAGCTATCAATAAAGCAGCAAGATCATCAGTCCCAATTACAACAATTTTTTTATCTGGATTTTTTTCGGCAAGGTCTATGGCTGTTTGAATAATTAGTGTATCAACATCTTCTTTAGCTTGTTTGATTGTTGAGTTTGAGTCGGCCATAAGCCGTCGGCTCCTTAATTTTAATATTTAGTTGCAAAAAACGATTGTTAATTAACAAACGCATTTTTTAGCAACAAAGATTTTTTTTAATAACTAAAACCCCATTTTTTTTTCACTTAATTGTTTATAACTTTTGTAATTTTCATCGGCGCGTTTTCGGACCTTTCCTTAAACTTTCTAGGCAAAAGTACTAATCGAAAGACACCTTGGTCGTAATTTTTGGACAGGACTGAAAAATGTTACGAAAAAAAGTACATGTGAACTAGACTAATACAGTCGACCCACTCAGTATGACTTCATATGCGGATACTTCATTTCTTCAATTTTATTCATTCAATATCTTCCATACGTGGACAACTACAATTTTTTTTATTCCCAAAGCGAATCGGTTGAAATAATCTGGTAATCTATATTGAAGTTGATCAAAATATTCTTTTATCTTGGAATAAAATGATTGAAAAATCAATTCTATTTGAACATTTATCTGAAGAAAGTAACGGACAAATTACGTTCTGGATTATATTTTATATGGAGTTCTTCAAATCAAAGAAAACGTTTCTAATTCATTTTTACAGATTCTCACAGGTGGCCGGTGAGATGGGTTATGCAGACACAGTGAGGGATTTGAGGGGATTCGCTATTAAATTCTACACCGAAGACGGCATATGGGATTTAGTTGGAAATAATCTTCCCATTTTCTTTGTGAAGGACAGTGCCCTCTTTCCTAATTTCATTCATGTACTGAAAAGGTAAATACTGATATAGAGCTCTCAGTTTCGTTCAAAACAATTTGACTGATGTCAAAAAAACACGTGGATGAATTTTATTAGTTCGGACTTACATAAAATGATTTGAAATCCGTGCAAGAACTAAAAAAGAAGAATTAAATTGAGCAAAAAAACCCAAAATGAAGTAAAAATGGAACAGTTGAACAAAAAATGAAAATAAGGGATTCCAAGCCAATTTACTTCACGACGTTTCGATTGTTAGTATCCACAATCGTCTTCAGGTGATGACTGTCATCACTCGAAGCCCGAACTAATGAAATTCATCATGAAACATTGTCGATCACCTTCAAAAAACACGTGGATTATAATAAGTGTCAATGTAAAGCACCAACGGGGAAACATGTCAACTTTTGTCTATGGCTTTAGAAAATGTCCCATGAACTCATTAAATCAAGAAATAATACAACATTTGAAATTTTCACATGCTAACCACTGTTTTTTGTTGTTTTCTGGGTGTTTTAGCCCTCCACAAGCTGTGGAAAATCTATTTGAGTGTAATTGAGTGTAAAAGTGAAAAGTTTTACTTATGAGGATAAACTATGATTAATTTGTAACTTATTTATTGTAAAAAATTTGTACTGTTGTAATACGAGGGGAATGTCATATATCGAGTGGTCCAACGAAAAGTATGCACCTTGCTTTTCTCCTTTTTTTGTAACTTAACGCAAAAATGCTCGGACAGGTCAATTTTGCTTTTGAGGGGGACACATTTCAGATGTATTTTTCTACATGTGCCTTCAACCTCCTAGCGAGGGTGAGTAACAACCCCAAAATTTTAAATGGAAAGTGGGGTCGAGTGATATATCATTTGAAAGGGCACAACATTCTCTTTTCAATGATACCTAATTTGTTGTATTTACTTGAATAATTATAAAAAAAGCAAAAACATTTACTCGATATTTTTGGTGTTAATGAAAATGCGGATAAAACGGCATTTTTATCACTACTTCACTTCTCAATTTCTCTCGTGCGTTTTTTGGTTCAAATAACAACAGCAGATAAGTGTACAAAAAGAATTTAAGCAAACGTTCATTGATTCAGTTCGGTTGCTTTTGAAATTATTTCAACTTTACTGTAAAAATGGTTTATTCCATTCCTGAACGAGTTGAAATTGTTAAACTTTATTATCAACATAGTAGTTGTGCTAGACTTACTGCTCGCCTCTTTAATAACAGTCATCGCGGGAAAAATGTGAATGATTCGTACGAGGCCAAGTTAGTCCAAAAGTTTGTCGATACCGGATCTGTCTGTGAAGTCAGAAACTGAGGGGTTCATCATGGCTTACCAGGATGGTGTCTTCAACTCTATAGTCTACAGCAGTCGCGTGATGGGTATAGAGGTTCCTGACACAAGGTGCAAAAAAAAAGAATGATACAATAAATAAGTGTGAACATTTACTGAAACGAAAAGGGCTGAATATCAGTTGGCACAGTTGGGACTCTTTTAGTTCGGTCAATCAATTTCTGCCATACGTTACGAAATTGAAGAAAATATCTTATATACAACATTTCACCGTTTGGAGAAAACTTGAACTGCCATATTTTATCCTACACTCATTTACTATTCTAAGTTAGGATCTGTCACGGATGTCAAGCTGTGAAAAAAGATCGCTCTGTGTTCTTAATCAGAAATAGTTATACCAAATCACTTAACCAATTTTCCATTTTTTAGGAATCCCAAGACACACATAAGACCGGATTATGACATGTTCTGGGATTTCATATCCCTTCGTCAGGAAACAACGCATACAATCCTGATGATGTTTTCAGATCGTGGTATACCAGATAGCTACAGACACATGCATGGTTATGGAGTCAATACATTTGCTTTTGTTAATGCCCACGGCAAATTTGTCTACTGCAAGTTTCATTATTTAACCAATCAAGGTAGGAAATGTGCAATCAAGTTATTTATAAACTGACGTATTGAAAACACTCTTTATTGTGAGATTTTCATTGAAAAATTTTACAAAAACGTAACACGTGTTTCGCCATACAATGGCTTCTTCGGGCGTGTCTTCACTAACTATATTCTACATATTCAATTCTTTATGTACATAATTTTACAATTTGCAGTACCTAAATTTGAAGTACCTGATTTATACCTATTCTACATATTCTATACTATATTCTACATATTCAATTCTTTATGTACATAATTTTACAATTTGCAGTACCTAAATTTGAAGTACCTGATTTATACCTAAGTTTGTAATGAATAAAATTACTAGAGCTTATGTCCTAGTTTCCACATTTGAAAAAATATTTAGTAAGGGGGAGTTATTTAATTCTAATTTATCATTCAGTAACTTAGCCGAATTCCTGAATCTTTTGATTTCTAAACATTCTACAAGATTGAGTTTCAAACTCTCCTCTTCTAAATTCAACAGGTCGTATTCATGTTGGACTCATGTCCTTCTACTAAAAGGTGGTTTGCAAATGCGGAATTGGTCTTTCTATTTACAAAACTACTTCTATTCTCTTAAATATTTTTTGGGACAATGTTCTCCCTGTTTGTCCAATATACAGTTTTGGGCGAGATCAAAAAGTCAGCTTATATAGGTACATGGAAGTTTTGTCTTTATTGTTTTCAATACATTTACTTAGACTATTATTTGTTCTGTAGGCTACGTTTACGCATTCTTTCTTCAAAAAAACGGCAATATTTGGTTGGTTCACCAAAATTTGACAATATCCTATAACTGACATAACCGAAAAAGCATTCTCCAGACAAACCACCCTATGAAGATGTCTGGAGGAGTCTTACTAGACTGAAGGACACGATGCTCGACCAGAATCTCGTGAACTTGGCTGGACTGGAGAATTGTGAGAAGCATGTTGGTATATGTAAATGATGATATGTCAAAAGAACAAAGAGAAATAGAAAAAAAGATACGAAATCAAGCTAAAGAAGAAAGAAAAGAAGGAAAACATGTGAAAATTGGATATAGAAAACTAGAGATAGATGGAGAAAAATGGTACTGGAACCTAGAAAGAAACGAACTAGAAAAAGAAAAGAAAACACCAATCAATACAAAAAACTGATAATGAACACAGGAAACATAGACCGAACAAAGAAGAAAACTGCAAGGAATTCGGATTACGATATTAGGAAAAATGAAATGATAACGAGAAGTGGCAATAAAAATAATTAAAAAAATGCATGGTTACTAGGAACGTGGAACACTAGAAACTTGAATGGAAAAGAAATTGAAATAGCAGAAGAATTTGAAAGGAACAAATTGAAAATACTAGCAATAACCGAAACGAAAAAAAAGGGACAGGACAAATACTATTACAGAATGGACACATATTAGTATATAGCGGAGTAGAAATAAAACAAAGGGCATCAGCTGGAGTTGAATTAATAATACATAAAGACTTAACCGAGAAAATTAAAAAATGGGAAGCTATAAATGACAGAATAATAACCATAGAAATAGAAAAACAAAATAAAGAAGTGAGTAAAATAATAGCAATATACGGACCAGATGAAAATGAGAGAATAGAAGAAAAAGAAAAATTTTGGGAAAAATTCACAGAAATAACCGAAAATGCAAGAGGAACAATAATAGTTATGGGAGATTTTAATAGCAGAGTGGGAAAACAGGACCATATATACAAAACAATGTTAGGAAAATATGGAGAACAAACCAGAAATGACAATGAAAAGAGAATGCTTCAATACTGTCAATTACAAAACCTGATCATTACAAATACATTTTACCAACACAAAAACATACATAAATTCACAAGAGTACAAGAAAGCAGAGGAGAAAAATCAATAATTGATTACATTTTGGTACAGAAAGAAAATAGGAACAATGTTCTAGATGTTAGAGTTCGAAGGGGAGCAGAAATACACAGTTATAATTTCCTAGTGACAATAAAAATCAAAGGAGACGCAACAGAAAAGAAACGGTGACTAAGAAAGGTGAACACATCACGATCAGATCATATGAAATGAGAGACACAACTGTAGCTACTAGATATAAAGATATTACCAACGAAAAACTTGAAAACAAATACAACGACATTAAGAAAGCAGAACTACAAGAAGCGTGGAACATTTTTATAAATGTTATCAGCTATCAGTACATGTGGCACCTACAATACAAATAATAATAGAAAACAGACATCATGGTGGAACGATGACATAAAGGAGGTTATAAAAGAAAAAAAATACAATGGAAGAAATACTTGAACAATAATACAACAGAACAGTATGAAATATATAAAAACCGAAGAAAACAAGTGAAAACATTAGTTAATAAAGCAAAAGAAATGTGATGGATTGAATTCGGTAATAAACTAGAAGAAGACATTAAAAGTAACCAAAAACTATTCTACAAAGCACTAAAGTCCATGAGATCAGAGAAACCCGTAAAAGACATACAAATCAAGAATTCAAAACGTGAAATAATTACAAACGAACAAGATATAATGAAGAAATGGAAAGAATATTTCCAGACACTACTAGGACAAGGAAATGAAGAAGGAACAATAGAAACAACAGAAAGGAACCAGTTAAACGAAAGCGAACCATTGGTAGAAATGCAAGAATTAGATGAAGTAATTAAAACATTGAAGAATGGGAAAGCACCAGGAGAGGACAAAATAACATCAGAAATGATGAAAAACTTTGGAGAAACTGGAAGAAAGAGCCTACTAGGAATAATCAATAAGGCATGGAAAAAAGAAACTATATTAGAGGAATGGGAAACAGCTCTAATAACACCGATACATAAAAAAGGAGACTACAAAAATTGCAAGAATTATAGAGGGATTACGCTACTGAATACCATAACAAAAAAATAGAAAGAATAATCAACAACAAACTCAGGAATAAAATAGAGTCACAACTCTCAGAACCACAAAGTGGGTTCAGGCCCGGAAGAAGCACACAATACCACATCTTCACAATAAAACAAATAATAGAAAAGAGAAGATCAGAACACCAAAATATATATTTGGCATTCATAGACCTAGAAAAAGCTTTCGACAAGAATAGAATTATGGGAGAGTCTGAAAAATAGAAATATCGATTAAAAAACCATAAATATGATTAAAAACATATATAGAAATGATAGAAATTATGTTATCAAAAACAACACAACACAACAACAAAAATATGCAAAGAGTAGAGATAGCTGAGGATGCATTTGCCGATGGCATAGTACTGATAGCTGAAAATGAAGAACGATTACAACATAATATAAAAATATGGAATGAAACACTGAAGAGAAAACAAATGAGAATAAAAAAAGATAAAACCAAGGTGATGACCATAGGAGGCGGAGAAATAAATATAATGATAGATGATAAAAAAATAGAAAAAGTGAAAGATTTCAAATATCTAGGCGTAACAATAGACGAGAAAGGAAGACAAGAAGCAGAAATTAACAATATAATCGAGAAAACCATAAAATTGTACTATACAATGAATAAGAACTTCATCAATAGAAGAGAAATTTCAAGACAGACAAAACTACAAATATTCAAAACAATATATAGGCCAGTATTAACATATGGATGTGAATTGCAGATGGCGCTGTACGTAACTTCCTTGATATAATTCGAACTCACTTTACATGTATTTCTTCATTTGAAAAAACTATTTTTGTTATTAACACGCGCTCCTGCTGCCTTATTTGTAAGTCTCCTTTGCGCGCCTGCTGCCCTGGGCTTGGTAGCTGATTGTGGCTCCCTCTCCGGAATCGGAAAATATCAATGATCAGTTTTTTTTTAACAATATACGGCTGATTGATTCCAAAGTTCAGATAAAATAAATATAGTTTAAAAAGACTAAAAAACACACATTTATAGCATTCGAAACTGAAAAATGAAAAACAAATAAAGTTTAAAAAACTAAAAAACGCGCTTTTTAAGAACATCGAACTAAAAAGTTGAAAATATTTTTTTAAATAACCTTGAAACAATAACGAAGAGAAAATACTAGTATTATTGTGAAAAAAGCGTTTTGTTCCATATTTTTTGTAAATCAAGCGCCCCTCGCTTGATTTACAGTATTTACATTTACAGTATTTACAAATACTATTCAATATTAGTGTATTTTTCCTTCGTTATTGTTTTAAGCTTATTTAAAAATATTTATATTTTTAACTTTTCAGTTCATTGTCCTTTAAAAGCGTGTTTTTTAAGTTTTTTAAACTATATTTAATGATAGTACAAATGTTCGTTATGGACTTGATACAGATATCATTCATAGAAAGCTACGCAATATGGTCTTATCACCTCATCAGCACCGTTTTGGATGGCATCATAAGATGAAACACTCATTTCGTTCATAACATGGCGACTTTCTGTCACTGTTAATCCCAGACAAGAAATTTCACTTAAATTGAAAAGGGTAATATTTAGAGAAAGCTTTAAAAAAAGCTTTCTGGCTTTTACGTCTCCATCATTGAACAAAAAATTTGGGAAACTTCTTGAAAAAGGAAGAAAAAAAACAACTGTAAAAATGACTTGTAATGTTATTCAAAACCTGATGATAAGACAAATGTTTTGTCCCGAAACTTTGATGTTCATTATTGAGGATGACAGTTATACATGTATGTGTTGGATTTGACCCATATTTGATGAATATCCATGACTTATTCAATTGAAATTTCATTCTGAGATTTTAACTGGACAGTTTACAAAACAGCAACATGTTTTTCGCTAAACGATATAGTCTGGTTCACATGTACTCGATTTAGCTCTTTTTGGTGACATTTTTCAGCCCTGTCCAAAAATTACGACCAAGGTGTCATTCGATTCGTTATGTTGGAGACGATCTTCAGATCCAGCGGCATCACAGTGCAGATATGGGGAGTCCTGCAGGTATCGACACACGCCAAAGATGACATTTCGGGGCGAAACGTCTTTAAGAAGGATGTAACGAATCTGAAGCCGGCCCTGACCGATATCTCAGCCAGCAAACACATGACGCACCGCGAACCGCAGTGAAAAGTATAGATGAATGCCGAAACGACCAGAGATATCTGGAGTGATCGTTGCCGATATAAAAGCCGGCTTCCCGTCCCGAGATGGCAGTCTGTGTTCAGAAAGCGAATCGTGCGTTTAAATGAAGAATTAGAACAGTGAAGATAAATTAAGCGTTAGTTGAATATAAATTTGTTGAATATAAATTAGTTGTGACAGTGAAATATTATTAAGAATTAATATGTTTAAGACAGTTAATTCTTCAGTTCGTTTCAGTATATAAGTATTTTTGTCACCAATTCTCGCAAAAATCTGTATAAATTTCATATAATACTTCAGTAAGTAAACTTTTCAATTGCTCGTTCTTACAGGAATCGCTAATCTAACTTCAGAGCGAGCGCAACAGATAGCAGGGGCTGATCCAGAATATTTGATAAGAGACCTCTACAACGCCATAGCAACCGGTGACTATCCATCCTGGAATATGTACATCCAGATAATGACCCCAGAACAAGCTGCTGCCAGTCCTTATGATCCCTTTGACGATACCAAAGTGTGGTTGCATGCGGATTATCCTCTAATACCAGTTGGAAAATTTGTTCTGAACAAAAATCCGAACAGCTATTTTGCCGAGGTTGAACAGATTGGATTCGATGTTGCACACCTCATTCCAGGTAACAGTTCAGTTTTGGAGTTGTCATTATCACTATTAAGTGGAATTTTTATTGGTATGATAATCCCCAACTTTTCAGATATGACAATCTGCATTTCAGAATAAACGGTTTCAACAATTTCAGCGGATTGGCTACACAATTCCACACACCAGAACAATAACAGTTTTCTCAAAATAGTCTCATTGATTGAATAAAACTGACCGATGCTTGATGGAAATCCATATTAAAAAACTAATTAATACAGTTTATTGTATGATTTTCACTATAAAGGGTTTTACAGAAACCGCGACACGTGTTCCGCTATACAATAGGTAATGACCTCAGTAGTCGATGCCAGAATAATAATAATAATAATAGCTTTCTCAATCTTAAACTGAAAGTTACTTCTGAATTACAACCATTTCATACTCTAACACAGAGGTCTCCAAACTACGGCCCGCGGGCCAAATCCGGCCCGCCAGTGTCATCAATCCGGCCCGCGACAGGCAATGATTTACTGTCATCAATCTGGCCCGCGACAGACAATGATTACCTAATTGTTGTTACTATTGCTGTGATAAGCTGAAGAAGAAAACACAGAATGATAATCACTCGGTTTTTTTTACTTGCGAGGTAAAACTTAACGACAGAAATGATGACAAAAAAAACCTAACTTAAGTATCTAAGTTTAAGCATATTAATAACTAACAAATAATTGAAATGAATCACAGTGAAACAAAAACACTACTGAGATTTATGTAATTGTAATTTTCCACCGACAATACTTTGTAGTTGTGGATCAATTTTACTTGTACCAATTATCAAAAGAGATTTAAGATGCTCATCGGTTAATTGAGATCTGTAAACATTCTTTGTGTACTTCATCTTGGAAAACGTTTTC